CTGTACATTTGGGCATCAACCCTCCTCATTGCACGCACGGATTCAAAGGGCGACCTCGGTCTCAAGAGCCACGTTCCTTAACCACTACAGCCAGGACACGGCATTCAAAAGTGCAACCATGCTGGTCATGATATCACCCCCACCCCTGCAAGGCTATAGTGTTCAACTCGACACACCAGACAACTCCACGGACACAGCAATTCACGCACACTTCGCTCCAATCAGCACGCATCCCCACTGGTACTTCGCTCATTCACTCAAACAGGCTTCATTGAACTGCCCGCTGGTTCACGGGAGCGTTCCAACCCGCAGTGGAGTAAAACTAAAATCGTGAGACGCATAAGTTTCTTTCAAAAGATTTCTCGGATTAGTAGGGATTACCCAGTGGTGCTTTGATACGGGTGGAGGCTGGAATGGTTTGTGGAGGAAACCCTTGCTAGGAAGTGTGAGGTACTGAGAGAAGAGTCCCCACACAATAGGTCAAACACACGATCGAGTTGGTCAAAGGCGTTGTTCCTCCAAAGGGTTGTGTATACCGTATGGTATCCAACAAGTTGGAGGAACTCCGAAAACAGATCGCCGAGATGATCAACAAGGGATGGAGAAAGCCTAGTGAATGTGAATTTGGTGCACCCGTTCTGTTTGTTCCGAAGAAAGGAGGCAAATTCCGTATGTGTATTGATTATCGCGTCTAAACCGCATCACAAGGAAGAATGCGTACCCATTGCCACGCATAGATGATTTGCTTTATGCTGCAGGTGGGTGCAAGGTCTTCTCCGATATCAATCTCAAGACCGGGTACCACTAGATTGATGTCGAACCAGCAGACCAGCACAAGACTGAGTTCAAGACTCGCGATGGGCTATACGAATTCACCGTAATGCCCTTCGGTCTCGCGAACGCACCGACCGCTTTTCGAAGTCTTATGGACAAGGCCCTCCACGAACAGATTTGTCAATTTGTGGTTATGTACCTTGATGACATTCTAATTTTAAACAAGTCTACGGAGGAACACATGAAGCACCTTGAGGTTGTCAGTTGTAGGCCTTGAGCCTGAGGCAACTAAGGTCGAGGTCTTACGCAAGTGGCCTCAACCCGCGGACGCCCGTGAATTGCATTTTTCCCTTGGTCTTGCATATTACTATAAAAAAATTGTGCCCCAATTTTCTATTAATGCGCGTCCGTTGTTTAAACTAACAACTAAGAACGTATCTTATATGTGGGATGTCGCATGTGAGACCGATTTTCAAACCTTGAAAGAGGCCTTGGTACGTTATCATGTGCTCCGCATTGCAGATTTCAAACTCACCTTCGTAGTCACTACGGATGCGAGCCAGTACGGGATTGGCGCAGTGTTGGAACAAGATGATGGTGACTATTTGCGGCTGCTCGAGTACTACAGTAAAAGCATGCCCATCGAAAAGGTAGTTACATTCACCTACAGCATGAGGCATTGAACCATTGGAAGCACTATCTTTGGGGACGCCATTTCAAGGTCTTCTCAAATCATGAGATCTTGAACTGGATCAAGGAGCAAACTAGACACCGTACGTTGACTCGCTGGTTCCATGAGATTGACATTTTTAATTGTGAATTAAAACACAAGAAGGGCTATTACAATCGAGTTGCTGATGCATTGTCTCGCCACCCCGAGTATATGACTTGCCTTGTGAACTCCTACGAACTCCGGAAGAAATTGAAGGAGGAGCTCGTGGAGCAAGCTGCCAAGGATCTGGACCTCAGTCCAATCCTTGCGCAGCTACGGGCTGACACCAGCAATCAGCCTGATTTTCACGAATGTGAAGGTCTGGTTTTCCGACGCTACGGTAAGAATGATTGTTTGTATGTACCCAACCATGATCCCCTCCGCACACACTCCTTGGGGCTCACGGTCGGAGTGTACACTTGGATATTGCGAAAACCTCGGAAACCCGCTGCAACAATTTGACTGGCCTGGTATGAAAGGATATGCTGTAAAGTTTGTGGCTGAGTGTCAAGTATGTCAACGAATTGAACCATCAAGGCAAAAGCCCATGGGGCTGCTCAAACCTCTTCCCATTCCCGAATGTCCCAGAGACTCCGTCTCCATCGACTTCACCGACGTAAAGACAAGCAAGAATGACCATTCGCAAGTGATGGTGATTGTTGATTGTTTTTCCAAATTCTTAAATCTGATCCCATTACCACTTCATGCCCCAACTGAACTCGTGATTGGTGAGTTCCACGAAAAGTACATTCGGCAGTTTGGGACCCCGAAAACCCTTGTGAATGATCGGGCCCCGCACTTCATAAGTATTGAATGGAAGGACTTCAAGTCCCAAGTCCTTGGCCTCAAACTAAGGATGACATGTGGTCGACATCCAGAAGCCAAGGGTTTGGCTGAGGAAATTAACCAGACTGCGTTTCAGCTTCTCTGTGCCTTGATTATCTCGGATAAGGAAACGTGGGATGAAGAGTTGTATTCGGTCAAGAGGTTGTATAACAACTCCATTCATTCTTCCAACGGCATGACCCCAAACAGGCTGCATTACGGTTGCCAGATCCGTAACCCGCTCTCCTACTTATCCCTTGAACAGCCGGCCGGTCTGACACCTAGCACGCCTGGCTTCAGTGCCAAGTATGATCGCTTGCTCAAGGTTGCCATTGCAGCAATGACCAAACGACAGCACGCCATGATCCATCATGCAAATAAGAAGCGCACACCTTCGACAATCGAAGTGGGAAGTTCAGTTTGGGTTCGAGTGTGTGTGTGACCAGCAAGGAGATTTCTCCATGCGGGAGGCCCCGAAGGGCCGGTACTTAACTGTGGCCGTGACATTGAAAGTTGCAGCCGGAAAAAAACTCAAGTGGGGGGGAAAGATGCCGTGTCACTTGGAGCAGCGGAAAAACACTCAAGTAGCTGGTAGGTCCTACCATGCCAAGTAGAGGTAGATGTGCCGGGTACTTGAGGCCGAGCAGAGGAAGATGAAAGATGGCATTATTAGAGGCCCAGTACTTGTAGGCTAGGTCTAGGCGGGTANGAGGTAGATGTGCCGGGTACTTGAGGCCGAGCAGAGGAAGATGAAAGATGGCATTATTAGAGGCCCAGTACTTGTAGGCTAGGTCTAGGCGGGTACCAGTCCAACCAGTTTGAGTCTAGGGCCTGTACGGGGGATATCAGAGTCTGCAATGATGTTTCCCTCCGAAAGGGAGGAGGTACTCTGTACGGGCGATATCAGAGTCTGCAATGATGTTTCCCTCCGAAAGGGAGGATGTACTGGTTGCTTGGAGGCCGCACGGACTAGGAAGTCATCTCCCAAGAGGCAAGCAGGCCGCTATAGCACCAGGAGGTGCAAAGTGCTCCTCCTCATTGTCCGTGTGCAAGTTNCCGCACGGACTAGGAAGTCATCTCCCAAGAGGCAAGCAGGCCGCTATAGCACCAGGAGGTGCAAAGTGCTCCTCCTCATTGTCCGTGTGCAAGTTTGGCAACACACTGGTTGGAGTGCTGGCTGGAGCAGCACTGCTGGGGACGAAGGAGCACCCAGCTCCCCACATTGGCTATGGTGGAGGAGCACGGGCCTGAGGAGGAGGAAGACAAGGACTAGGAGGAAAGGGGGGGGGCAGACGTACTAACCTGGCTATGGTGGTTGCCATCATCACTTTGGTGAGCACTGCATCTGGAAGGCCCAAGTTGGGGTAGAGCTACACCAAGAAGCTTTGAGGCAGAGCTAGAGCAGCTATAGCTGCTTTGAGTTGTACTTTGCACATCAACGCAGGGCAATAGCAGTCCACCATAGCCTCGGCCTTCAGGAAGAGGAAGGAGAAGGGTGGCCGTGGCTATGGTGGACCTCATGCTGTACCTGGCAGTAGAAGAGGAATTCGGACATTGATTCTGGTTCAGCCATTCAACATTATTATTATTATTATTTATTGTTCGACTACGAGGGGAGGAGAAAAGGAGAAGGAGAGTGGTTGGCGAAGAAGAAGGGAATTATCATTGGTCTTTGCTGGTGTACATCTTCTTCTTCTTTCTTTCTTTCTTCTTCGTCGTCTTCTTCTTCCCTCTCTCTCCTCTCAAGTTCATTCATTTCTTTCTGCAATTGGACGGCATTGTACTTTCTCACGAATGTGTACTTAACACAGGATCGAAAAAAAAAAAAAGAGTTTGCGTTCGTGACTCAAAGGTCCAAATCGGCGGATACTGACCGTATGGGAGTTGATTACCCATCTATTGATATTAATTGGTGGGGGAGCACGCGAACGCATGCTGTTTGTTATACTTCCTGCCTGCCATTGAAACTACGTGGTAAGGTCCAAATCGGCGGATACTGACTGTTTGGGAGTTGATTACACCTACGATTTCTTAAAAACAGAAATATTTGGTTTCCATACGCTTCACTTTATTTCATTTGACAAAGAATTCCTGCTTCCAGGAAGCCGCCGTTAGGCACGATCACCAAAAAAACATTGACGCCAGCACTTCGTAATTAATTACGATTTTTTTTTTGTCGGCAACCAGAGCAGGTCACGTCACTTTACTCGTTGATATGCAGAAAGTGATCTGGCAGCTTTAGGTTTTTGTGACAAATCGGGGAACCCTAAACCCAACTTCTTTTATTTCCAAGATCCGCAGAGAAACTCCGTGTCACGGAACTCCGGACTTCTCTGCGGTCTCGCCAATTACTATCACATAGCAGACTCGAACTGGGGAAATAACTCCACACAGCAATCATGAAAGCTTCCAGAGCTAAAAAAGCTATCATGTACTCTTTCTTGTAATTTGAATACTAGACCACCCAACTGTAGTATTCAGGAGTATGATCCAACAGGAACAGAAATTAGTAATTAGTAATTACCTTTTTTTTTTAAGATGACATTTCTAATTTTCTAAGGATTTCTTGAATTCTCCTGTCATTTTCTGGACCTTTTCTTTTTTCCATGGCACGAAAGTTTCTTGCAGCGGCTGGAGAGGACAGGATGAAGCTAGAAGCACATCTCCTTTTTTTTTTTTAACATCCTACCTGTGGTTGGAACAAAGATATTTTCTCTGCTGCATATCTTGCAATTCCGTCAAATAGTTGGGGACATGAATGTTGCATTGTAGCAAATGCTCCAGCCTGCCAGAAAAGACACGTGTCCAGCCAATTAAATTGAATTTAATTCCCTTGTCAACTTGTCAATCCAATCTATTTATTTTGACAAATTGTGTAAAAAAATGAAAATTATGAATATTGATTTTGCGAAGATCCTGCCCAATACTGCCAAACATTACACCTCAAGGAGATTTGGAAAAAAAAAAAGAAAGTACGCCAAGGAAGGGGAAGAAAGAGAGAAAGAAGAAAGAAAGAAAGAAAGAAGAGGAAGAAGGAAGGAAGGAGGAGGAGGAGGAAGAAGAAGAAGAAGAAGAAGAAGAAGACATGGTTGAACCAATTTTATGTCCCTCCTCTTCATCATCGCTTCATCATCACTCACATACCCGTCGCCTCGTCTTATTAACAATCCATGTCCATTATTAAACTTAACATAAAATTTCAATAAAATTGAATAAATGAATCAAATTCAATACACGAATGAACAAACAAGAATCAAACGTCCGAAAGTTCTGACCTACTGGAAGTCAACAAAGAGCTCCTCTTCAGATCATTATTGTACAACTTGTATCCAATGCTTGTTGTTAAATTATCATCATTTTCCATAAAGCCTCTTCTCCCTCTCCTCTCCTTTTGGTAGAGCAACTGGTCTATGCCGGTTCATGAATGCCCAACACAGATGTCCAAAGGACAACGCAAAAACTACAAAGCTAGAGAGGGAAATAATATATATATATTTTAATATTTATAGCTTGTCAAGTCGGAAGGCGATCCGAAGGCTGTCGAAAGTTTAACTCAATCCAAACAATGCCCTGAAGGTGTAGTGCATGTTAGTTGCTGGACCCCTCATGGATGAACGGGCCTGGCGACACCGAGTTAAATTCATTCATGATGAAAAATCAGCCACACTACAGTGTAGCTGGGAAAAATACTGGTCCTACAAGGCGTGAGTAACGTAAAACGACAACCCTCACAGACTTTGAAACCACTTTTTCAAGAGTTTTCCGTCAGGCTACCATGACGTCCGAAACCCATGACACGTCCGGACAGATGTCTGCTCTAAAATTTCCGGGACGTGCGTTACACACACACAAAACATCTGCAAAAAGGTATATTACAATTTCTGCCTATGACAGATTCGTTTGGACACCCAGACTTCCAAAAAGTGCCTTCCACATCCATCATCCATGCCCATAGCATAGGTTTCTTACTGTTTTTTTTTTTGTTTTTTTGTTTTTTTGTTTTTTTACTGGTATTTTTACATCATCTCTTGTCAAAACAATCGCAACGCTGTATATGCAATCAGACTCGCTTTCTTTTCCACTTCGCACTCACGCAAACAGATGGTGAGTCACACTGGCGCACAGCACCCACTCAAAGCTCTGAGATATGGAAGTCGAAACACAGTTCAGATACAAGCTCGCTTCAACAGGCTATGGCGCATAAGCGCCTGTACACTCCAAGTCTCGTCTCTCTATCAACACCACTGTTCGCACTCACTCAACTCCGGATCACCCTGGATATCCCACACACATACACACACTCCCGTGCTTACACACTCGCCTATCAGCTATGGCGGCTATGGCCGCTGTCCCTCTATGGCTATGGCTAACTATCTCCTTCAGCCCACTTCGTCTCCGGGCACTCTGCAGACCACCTCGCACAAGTCGCTCAGACAGCACTTCCGCATGGCATACGCAGGAATGAATGAATGGCTGGGCGCTGCCTCTTGATTTATACTTCTTGTAACTCGTTGGTCTGCCCCTTTCCCATGCCCTGGGTGCACACAGTCCCACACGGTACTTGCTTGACTGGACTGTGACTGACTGGGACCGGTACCGCTGACTGCATGGGTTTGCACTGCCAACTCGATGCAGTCGCACTGCCGACGTAACCCAGTTGGGCTCACCACTTGCCCACTTGCCTCTATCCAAATGTGAGACAACTTCGAAAGGCCGCTTCCGGACCTTCCGGAAGTCTGTGGGCTTGGCCTTTCGAACACTGTAGCAGCTACGACCTTGACGACTTTGACCTTTCAGGACTGTAGCAGCTACGACCTTGACCCTTCAGAAGAGCTACAGCTACGACTTCTAGAACTCACTAAGACCTCTATCCTACAGGTCTACAGATCGAACCCCGACAACCTACAGACCTACAACAGCCTACCAACTGTTACGAATACACAGGTCACGGGTTCAACTCTCGGGGTCGACACAGATACTGTACACAGGTAAGGTAAGAACTAGGGATCGAGCCCTGGGATCTGCATTCGCTACTGCTAACAGGTGAATACCGTTTCATATAGATAGATAGACATTCTAATGTTCAAAATCGGCAATTTCTTGTGATCTGAATTCTCACCACTCGCACAAGGAACTCGCATGGAATTGTTTTAGACTTTGGTTCAGCTCTCGCAACTCCCCGAGCAAATTATACCAGAAACGGAACCCCCTGCTGCTTGTAGGTTCAGTGGTGAAATGTGGACCAGGCGGTACAAGTGTGCCAGGTGGTATTATGTGGGTCAGGTGGTACTATGTGGGCATCCAATGCTGCTTTAGGTTCGGTGGTACCATGTGGACCAGTCTGTCAGGTGGTACTATGTGGGCATCCAATCGGTGGTACCATGTGGACCAGGCGGTACAACGTGTGCCAGGTGGTATTGTGCAGGCCAAGTGGTACTATGTGGGCATGCAATTCGGTGGTACCATATGGACCAGGCGGCACAACATGTGCCAGGTGGTACTATGTGGGCATCCAATCGGCGGTACCATGTGCACCAGGCGGTACAACATGTGCCAGGTGGTATTATGTGGACCGGGTGGTACTATGTGGGCATCCAATTCGGTCGTACGATATGGACCAGGCGGCACAACATGCGCCAGGTGGTACTATGTGGGCATCCAAATGCGGTGATCGGACAGCCTGCAATGATTGCTTCGAGGTTTAAAAGTAGCGTGCAGAAGTACCTGGTTTATGTGATGAGAACATTAACACCACGATAACACTCCGCAAACAGAGAGTATCAACAATCCACGCTGACACACTGATTGACACAACAGAGAGCGCAAGTCCGATTCCTTCAGCACAAGTCCGTGACTCCCGAGAACCACCACTCCAACCGCTTACCCTCCGCGGTCTTGTCGGCATTCGCCGGAAACGACCCAGGCCCGAAAGAGGACTATCCACATCTCAATCAGTGTTTGACCCATCATTACAATGACCGGTTCCAAGTCCTATTACCAGGCTCAGGTATCGAGCCACTGCGCCTGTTGCCGCTACCGTTATGGCCACTCCTCTGCCCCCGGTTGGTCACAAACCACACCCTTGATTAACTCAAATCAGCACCTCGTAACTCACTCTTCGATCTTCACGCTTCGAAATGCTCCAACTGCAGCCGCTCCGTCGTGCAGATAACTCCTTCAGTGTACTGTATACGTAACTCGTGCTCACACACTCCCAGATAACTCCTTCACACGTGCCTCCGTAGGTTTTTATGATGAGAACATTCACAACACGATAACACTCCGCAAAACGAGAGTATCCGCAATCCACGCTGACACACTGATTAACACAATAGAGAGCGCAATTCGGATTCCTTCAGCACTAGTCCACAACTTCCAAGAAACCACCACCCTAACCGCTTACCCTCCGTGGTCTAGTCGGTATTAGCCGGAAAAGACCGAGGTTCAAAAGAGGACTATCCACATCTCAACGAGTGCTTTAATACTCATTGTCCCCCGGTGTTCGACACATCATTGCAATGACCGGTCCCAAGTCCCGTTACCAGGCTCAGGTATCCGCAACTACACTAGAAATTCAGCCAAATCCATTCCACAGAAATCGGGCCTGGGCTGCCAAGGCCGGTACCGCCATGATCTGGCGTAAATGAGCCAAACCCAACCAAATACAAAACCTACGGGGCCCCGGGCTCGCGGGGGCAAACTTGAACAAATGCCTGGTACACCCAGTCCTTTCGAGTGGTCATAAGTTGAAATGGACCACAGGGCCTGATGGACAAGATGCCACATCAAGAAAAGAATGGGCCTCCCATACGGCCCAGGCTCCCAGCTCCACTTGGACTCCCTGGGGGCATTAGGATGGGCGGGCCCTCTTTTGCCTTTATTATGTGTGCACTGGATATGAAGTTATGAACCTTTAGATCCACAGGAAAGATCTAAGAGGCTCAACCATAGAGCCTCATAAAACCAACGATCAGTCCATCTCGCCAAACAGCATCGTCGAAGTTCTTGCATGACCAATGGGTTCACTTGAGTGCCTCCGTGCTGCTGTACGCATTACTTGAAACACTCATCAATCTTTCCTTTCCTCTTTTTTTTTTTTTCCTTAAAAAAAACACCTCATTCCCCTAAGGCCATGCTCACACTAGGACTTATTTGGCTGACATGCATGTGAACATTCAGGAGGTCAGATACATCCCAGAACACCCAGCCCCCGTGCGGCTGAATAGTACCCCACACGTAACTGTTGTTGAATAGACCATCAGTTCAAACCCTGCTGGAAAAGGATGGATCCAAAAAGTGATTACCCTGTTTTAAAGATTAGAAAAAAAGAAAAAAAGAACAAAAGAAGAAAGATGCATCCCTGTCCTTGGGCACATCCGTTAAAATTGGAACAACTCAGGAGAAGATAGATCAGCATGGCCCCTGCTACAAGGATGACACCCATAAATCAAGAAATCCCAGAAAGTCGTCGTGTAAATATGCACGGCGCTGGCTACGGGTGTCGCTCCACTACTCACCAAACCAAAGAATGCGTCTTCTGCTAGAACATGCAAAGATACATGGCTTTTTTTTTGGGTCGTTTGTGCATGTGGCGAGTAGTGGAGAGAGGTCATATGGCTGATACTTTACTCCGATATCAACTACCACCTGCAGGAAGATGGTTCAATATCGGCACACGCTTCTTTACATTCCCTGCCGTTATGGCTTCAAAAACCTACATTATGGTCACCTGAAGAAGATCATGATTCTATTTTCATATGTGCCGACAGCCACAAGCGCCGACAT